CAATTTTTTGCATAAAATACCAAAAACCCCAAAATCATACAAACAAAGCAAATTCTATCATCCCTCAAAGAACTTGTTTGATGTACGTTAGTTTGTATTTTGTGCTCTTACAAAAATACAATGTGCTTCTCTTTAAGTTTTGCTCACGAAGTCTTCGAAAATTTAACTGCGAATAAAAACCGCAAATCCGGATATTCGAAGACTTCGGATTTACAAAAAATCCGGATTTATTTCCAACTTCGAAGACTTCGTTTATTATCCGATTAATTGGAATCTGCGGATACTTCGGAGAACCGAATACGAACAGCACTACTTCGGAGCTGCTGAATACACCTATAATTAATAAATGTTTTATAACACAAGGTAAATTTCTGTTTTAAGCGGTATTAGACTATGGTTACATTGCATGCGAATTTTGTCCTGCTTGTTCGTGCATATGTTTTCGCATGAGAACACATCACTTGCTCCGGTTACATTGTTTGCAAATTAACAGTTCTATTTTGTTTGTTTTGAAAACAAAATGGAAAGTAAAGATGAAATATATGTAGCGGAAAATTCGTTATTAAATTATCTATTAATTTCAAATAACAAAAGATGAATTTAGAAGCATGATTTTTATTCTTCAAAGTATAAAAATCGAGTTTATCTATTTCTCAAACAAAAAATCGCAATCCATTTCCTAAAAGTAGTAGTCTTTTTCAAATTTATTTTTATTTATAAACTTAAAATTACGTGAAAGTAACATACACCTCTTAATTTCATTATTTACACCTTCGATTTTGCGCGAACGCATAAATTTCAAACAAAATATTTTGTTTAATCAAATTTTCGCATGAGAAGGACATGACGTCACGCGAATTGTTCTCACCAACTGTTAACACTCACATACGATTACATACATTTGATTTGTTCTTACAGACACGCAAGACAAAATCCGCATACAATGTAAACGTAGCTTTACGCGTCATGCTTAGTCATTATTTTTTTTATCATACGACGGCATAAGTGAGAGTTGATGTGTCAACATTAGAGGAAGTAGACATATTTTTGGCATATTTTATCATATTAGGATCAAAAAAAATTAATATAAATATATTTTCTAGATAGGTTTAAATATGTTTAACAGTTACTTAAAAGGCGATATCCTTTATAATTAAATAAAGCTTCGGAACAGTAACTAGTAATTTCCTCCTTTTGAGAAAGTGTAACAGCATTTTTTAACTGTAGTTAGCATTTATGCTACATTTTCATTAGTCAATACAATATAATAATATAATAGATATATATTCATTGTTTTCTTTATATAAAATGTAATTAATATAACTTACTATGTAAATAAATGATACGTTTCATTTTTGTATATATGTTTTTTATTGTAAATCTTTATTATAAAGATTATATTGTAGTGTGTATATGCTTGAGTTTATTTACTGACTGCGATATGTGCGTGAAGATAGCGTCGACGATAAGTCCAAAATGGAATTGGAACATTTTTCGCCGCTTCAAAAATGCAGTATACTCTAATTTAGGAAAAATTTATTATTTTATTATATGTAATGCGGCAAATGGCATTATTAAGTAGAAAATTGAATTAATTTACTATCTACATTCGACTTTTATGTGTAAATGATGTAATTTGTATGAAAAATGAAAAATAAAAATCAGCCCCAAAAGATGGGGTCACTAATACATTAATAACTTTTAAACTAGAGGTACCATTATTTTCTTTTATAGCTCATTTGAAAGAAGATAAAATTACCTTTCATATAATGTAAGGGTTGTTTGTATAGGTTGCGATAAAGATAGAGATGTCATTTTCAAACATTATATAATTAAAACTTTATTACTTAACCAAAAATTATGAAATAAAAAGCATATAACAATAAGAAATATGTTTGTTTCTCTAAATATAATCGTTTTTTACATAATATAGAAAAAATTTTCTTTAAAATAAGGAAAATAAAATTTTCTAAAAATAGGTCACATTTG